TGGGTGGCTCAGTCGGTTAAGCATCCAGCTTTGGCACAGGTGATGATCTTGGCGGTTCATGCGTTCGAGCCCCGCATCCGGCTCTGTGCTGACAGCTCAGAGCCTGGAGCCTGCTTCGGATTCTGTGTCTCCCTCTCTCTCTGCTCCTCCCCTGTTCGCACTGTCTCTCTCTCTCAAAATAAACATTAAAAAACGAAAAAGGAAAAAAAGGATAAAGTCTGTACTAATGAAAATCTTCTAAAAATACTCTGATGAGAATAAAATATTCCTGGTCTTCAAATTCAAGATGGGAACTGCACTGCTTCTTGGCAAGAGCCTCAAGCCACGAATTAGTAACCACGAGAATTGACGGATCAGAGAGAAATGATCGGTGTCTTGTCACCGCACATGCTTATGAAGAAGACCAGCCAACCTGACAGTTCCACATTTCTGAAAGCCAATCGGCACCAGCATTCAGTTCGCCCGTGCTCGGAACGTCAGTCAGGTGCAGCCTCGCTCCAGTGACCAAACCTTTACAACTGAAAGCCAGCAAGTCAGTCCCCCAACACTTCTGCTTCTAAAAGCCTGCCAATCCCTGAATCCATTTCCCAAACCCTGAATCACTTTACTTTCCCGGACTAACTTATGAGTATAGCCCTTCTCTGGTTAGTATGGTGGCCCACGGTGGACAGAACCAATCCCTTCCTTACTCCGTTCTAAAAAGATGCTTTTTTTTTCCTCATCCCCTTCAATCTGGACTGGCCTCCTGACTTGCTTTGGCTTCACTAGAATGTGACAGATTCCAGGCCAACCCTTCAGAAGTGTGGCAGTTTCCTCTTTCCTTCTTGAAGCCAACCATTGTGCACAAAGTCCGAGTAGTCTGGAATCACCAAGCTGTGAAGAAACTCAGGCTACTAGAGGTGGAAGCCCAATATAATCCCAGACACAGAAGCGAAGGTTCTTAGATCTTCTGGCCCAGCCAAGCGAGACTTCCGCTAATGCCAAGTGCAGGAGCCACCTACTCCACCTACAAGAACAAATCACTACAAAAGCCATGAAGTTCTGAGTGTTCCTGTTACATAGTAACAGATGAG